ATAATCGGAAGAAACAAACTGTTTACTGTCAGCAACGTGTTTGAAATGACCATAGGGAATCATGTTCTCTTTAGTTTCATGCTATGACGTGTTTCCGTGATTTAAATAGAGTGGAATCCGCGGAACATTACTCGACATATCCAAGAGATGATATAGACTACCTTGCCTACTATTGCTACAGGGACTTCCAGTAGGAATACCAAATAATTTATAAGTGTGTCGCCAAACGCACAGGATAATTTTTATTAGCCATAAAGTTTATAACGCGACATGATTATGACATTACAAATGATAAACTAGAAAACTAATGTTAATATTGCTCACACTAAAAAATACTGTAAAATACTTAATTTTTATTTAGGGTGGAATTAATTTTCGCTGAATGACTCAGGCTGTTAGGGGTTTTTGTATGGAATTTATTTTAACTCAATTTGTTCGAGTAAAATGTAAAATATAGGTCTATATTCGCTGGATTTTATTTTCACTGAATCATTCCTTAAGGGAATATAGCAAAACTTAATTCCCAGCGAAAATAAAGTATTTTACAGTTGTGAGGGAAGTTTGAAATGGAGCGTGTGGGTAGACATGCGCCCTCAATGTGGGGTTATAGTGTGTTTCATGGCTAACGTTGGTGGTGTCCTCGACGGTGCAGAGAGTTTTATTGTTATTTTCCCGTGAACAATGAGTTTCGATTTGTTATTCAAAAAGTAAAACAACGAGTTCTAATTTGTTTAACATTTTCTTGTGGTTTTAATTCACCGAATTTTACGTATCAGTAATCCTTCACAGTATGTTGCCTAAGAAAAATGAGTACATATGGCTGGGCTTCAACAAACAAGCAGACAAACAAACGCACACGGTTACTAACTTGAACTGTGCTCCAGTCTAAATCACGTTGAATGATAGAGGTAGTGAGCTTCCACACTATTTATCATCACGTGATTCATATTCACAATGAATTGTGTGTATGTCTTGTTGGGTAGCGTTTATAACTAAACTGGACAATATACAGAAATAGGATTTGCAAACGTTTGTGGAATTTTGAATTGCGCATGTATTATCTGTTGCCCGGGGATAATTTGATAAAGTGTTCATGCGCATGCGTTATACGTAATCCAAATCGAAAGATAAAAGTTGGCTGCTACTGAAATAGCTGGTCGTGATTAGAAGTGTGAGCAGACAATTTGTAATGCTATTAATATGCTAGTAGAAATATATTTATAAATGCTGTAGCAAGCACATAGCGTTGTTGGTGTTGCGGGACAATAACGTACTGTTATGTGCTCAACAATGAGCAAGAACAACCAATCAAAGTGGGTTGGTGGCGGTATCACTGAATGCTCTTGTTTGCTGATCATTTGTTGGAAGGTGAAATGTAATTTATCCTCGCCCAACCTTGTATTTTTTGTTTGCACAGTTCTTATCCTACCTCTGTCAAACACGCAAGCATGCATAATATCCATCGGAATTTTAGATAATAACACCTCCCGCAAAGGTCCTCAGCTTGTCTGTGATGCGTGCTGTGCAGATCGAGTGTTTATACACAAGGGTGGCGTCTATTGAGATGAAAGCTGCATTATTGATATCGGTAGTTCAAATATACAAGTATGGTTCATATCATCAACAACATGCCATCTACGTGTTATTATCAATGCGTTAATAATAATAATAAATATTTTACTGTAAAGGCGTTTATTGTCACAACTATTTAATTTCACTATTTTGATATTTTGAACATGTTCACTGGATTTTAATTTTCCGCATTTCCCAGTGAAGTAATGAGTTCGGTCCATTGTACAGGTTCACATTGATTTCGGTTAGTGATTTTTACTTATGAGACTGAAATAAAATGAATAATTTACAGTAAGTAAATCGTTCTTTGTCAAGGTGGACTGGTATGTAATAGTATATAAAATAGAGTGTTTTTTTTTTGTAGTATGTGTCTGCCATTTATCTTGCGTTCTTGAAATGAATCATATTGGGGGTTACCCGTGACATTTAATGTCGTGATGTATTTCTTTTGTTTGTACAATTGCTAATCAACAGTCGATTTGACAGTCACCTTTGTATGTGAATATACAAAAGACTAAACTAAAAATATATTGACTTGTTATTCATGATGCACTGCGAACGGACCAATCAGCGAGCACCTCTTTCTTTTTTCAATTGATTTGCAATCGATTAAAATGTCCCTAAATGTGTGCATCGATATACATCATGATGATACGCATGCGCACGCAAAACCTATATTATTAATCACGCTTATTACATTATGAAATCAACTCATTAAATACCATTTGTATTTATCGTATCAACACATTTCATACCGACACCTATGTAACATATAATGAGTTAAATATAACGTTCATTTCATCAGCCGTGTTTTATGTTCAGTCACATCAAATTAAGTTTATTCTCAGGTTATTGAAACAGTTTTTTGGGGGCATTTATGTGTATTGATACAATCAGGAAACAATATTCTCGTGGATTTAAAGTTCCCGTATTATTCCAGTCACTTGGTGAATGGCTATATTGTATATAACTCTTGTGCGTCTAGATCTATTCTGTGTTTTGTGTATTCATTCATTGTGTAGATTTCACTTAGTTTATAAGCTTTCCAGTCCAATAAATATAGCTGACAAATGTTATTGTTGAAAAAAAAAATTAAAAATTCAATTCTGAAAGACAATTTTGAGAATGTTAACAATACACAAAACCTAAAATAAATTCAAAGTTGTTATATGGTAATTACGTGTGCAGATCAAAAGTTGGTAGGCTGGCTGTGGTCCGTGCTATAATTTCACCATTTTCGTTGAAAGCCAGATTATTATTGTAGTATAAAGCCATCATTCGATACAGCTGACTACGCACTACGATACGCGATAATCCGAAATAACAATAACATTGCTGAGAAAGATGGTCACAACGCGACGGGGAATACGAGGCCAGCCGGAGTTAGTGTTGGTTCACTTCAATTTAGGCACCCTGCATTATGCCCAACTACGATTCGATGTGCCGCTCACTTAAGAAAAGTGTCTATACCCGCATGCCAATGAAAGCTTTTAATTGGTTAGCGTCATATTTCGACCAAGGGCGGTCGATCGATTTCTTTTTACCTTCAGAATCAATTAAATGTGATGAAACGTAATTAATATCTGGAGTGTAAGTATCACCGCAAGTAGTGATAAAACTCTAGGTAAATGATCCTCGGGGGGACCGTCGGGTTTAGTGTGCTAATTAAAGTGGAAAGTATATTGTTACAAGTACGGCAAATGACTGTTAAATATTAAATATAGCCTACCAGGATTGTTCGTAATTTAAATTTGAGGAAAATTAATACATGTTTTTTTCTTTCTTCTTTCTTTTCTTTTCTAGCTGCTTTGCCTAGTTTACATCCAGTAAAGTCAACACAAATTACACTTTTGTTCATATCGATTGGATTGCCCGTTCGAAACTACAATAATTATTAAACATGTCAATATTGATAGATTGCGCACTCTACGGCGTACATTGACTTTTATATGGATGTTAGATACCGGCCGTCAGATTCGTTGTGCTCGTTACTTTGACGCATTGGTAATACCAGCCGCGGCGTTTACCACCCTCGAGTCGTTACATTGACGCGATGGAGGGGCGGCGGCACGAAATCTTGCATGAGGGGCGATGTTTCCAATATTTGTTTCGGGTGGGCGACCGCCCCCTGCCCCAGGTGCCGCCGCCACTGCGATGGCAATATTCCATATTCACCACCCTCGAGTCGTTACATTGACGCAATGTTCACCACCCCGGCGGCATAACACCAGTCGTCAGATTCACTGTTCTACCACCACGGTGACGTGGCTATGTCAGCAATGTACTTAACAGGCTAGTTCATATTGTTTGTGGTGAAGTCGTTACTCTAAACCCATTTATTTTCACTAGCATTTAATATCATTAATTTGATGTTTTGAGCAGTTTCAATAGGATTTAATTTCACGAACTTAGCAGAGAAACAACGATGGCTACGTCTTCACGTGGATTAGCGAATTTTACTCGTCGTCAATGGTCGCAAATCCTCAATTTCCGTCATAAAAAAATGAACGGATTTTTTGTGAGCACGTGTAGGCACACTGACCATTTATAAACGTGTATTTGCGCTAATATTCAATAACATGCCGTGGAGAACCTAACATTTTCAAAACCATCGCCCTGAGCCTGTTATTAAAAATATATACTAGTACGTAAGTTATTTTCTAGTATAATTGCACAGTTAGATTATTTTAAGAACGAGGCTGTGTCACATGATTTATGATTCTCGAAAAATGAATGCAAATCTACAGCCATTTCCATTGCCACGTCTGGCCACGCACCCACCATAGGCGATTGACTGGATATACATAATTGTTGTGTGTAAGTGGTGATCGTTCTTGAAGACCTGGCAGATCGCCGGTGTACTCAGTGTCATACCTACGTGAAGAAGACAATACACCATTGTAGTATGCCAATAGACGCCTAGCAAGAAAGCGGTGTTCTGTGGCTCGGCATGGGGTTGACTAAATAGATAGCTAAATGTAACAGAGTGTATTGTGAACTACGAGTCACTCAAATAAAGCCTAAAATCGTGGTTTGGTAGTGGGTTTCCGATGTCAATGACAGAAACAACTTTCGGTAATTTGTAATCGGATTCGAGTCCCAACTTGACCTACGTTTAATAGTTGCATTTTTTCTGTGGTCGAAGACATACACCTTACGTAATGGCATGGTGCCGCTGAAAACGGGGAAAACGTTGTTGTCTTGGTTACAGTTGTAAACTATAGCAGTGAGTTATTATTACATGTTACATGGCGACCACCCCTACAAACACAATGATTTCGTCCATGCGGTGCTATTATTGTAGTCCATTTAGAGCGAGCCGTGTGTGTACACATAGCACTTGTCGGGTTGAACACGGAGTGTTGGGGCGCATAGTTGTATCCGTCACAGATTCAAGAGTGTACTTGTGTTGGGTGTTGAAGACCGTCTGAAACGGTTAGGGTACAGTTAGAAGATCCAATCAGCTGACTGGACTTAGCGGAGTAATAACACGGACAACAGCAAGTGTAAAAACGAGCCGACATGACTGTACATAGACTGAAGCCAATCAGTTGAAAATCACTCGAAGGTTTTGATGGATGTAACTTCTGTCCGGCTTCAGCGTGCTTGCAACACTCAAGTTGTGTTCATTGCAATATGTACAACGTTGCTCAAGGAAATCAGATGCGAGTAATATTGAAATTATGTACCCCATTTTTAGCAATTTTGCTGCTCTCAGTGACACCAGGTAAAGCAATTATACACTTTATGTTTGTTTTATAATAACACGACACTATTGCTTACATTCAATACTGCTGTAACACCGCCATTGTAATGCACTGGCTTTATGCGTGTAGGAACGCATTTAAATTCCTATACGAACTAGTTTGATAAATCTAAATGTGCAATGCACGCGATACAGCGAAGTCACGTGAACCCCACGGAGATGAGATCGCCGGATGTTCCATGTAATAATGCCTTGCGAATGATAAGCAAGGGTAATATTACCCGTTCATTTCTGAAGATGTCTGACCCGTTCAAATAACATACTACTAAAATTCACATATGCGAGTTCTCCTAAATCATATTTATTATTTAGGTACCGCATTGTATTGCATTTAGTATGTGCAAAAACTACATTTCGACGATTGCACATCGTATATGCTCTAGTCTGGATCGCTGTGTACGCAAAGTAAACAAGGGTTGAACAACCTTCCTCCCATTTCCATCATGAAAACAAAGCTCTTTTGCCAGATAGGACTCTAACGAAACATAATAATAACTTTAACATTGTCCCACAAGAATACAACAGAACTCAATGACTCCAGCGATCAAGGATAGATATCTGACCGATCCCAAGCTTGGTGTAATAGCCAGACCCCTATAATAGGGTACCTATCATGATATATTGGCAGTGATCGACGGATATCATCGGTATGTGTTCAATTCCTAAACTAGTTTGTCTTCAGCGACAGATAATGACTGATTTCGGTGACAATTTGAGTTCATGTCCCAATCATAGCTGCGGGCTGTTTTCTCCTCGGTTTAATACAGCCTCGTAAAGAAACAATTTAATTTAAATTCGCCGCAAGCAAAGAGACCGCGAGAAGGGGATATTTAGACGGTAGATGCTTTAAGATCTTGAGTGTTCAATCACTGCGGGATGTGGCTTCCGAACTTTCATCAATGACGATGTAAGGTCTGATAGGAATTCCTCGTTCATTTCTGCAAAATTAAAAAATAGCATATTCTAGTAGTAAAGTTAGGAACTCTATCGATTCATCAAAACCCGGCAACTGTAATGAGAATTCTATTTTTGAAGACCGAAATGAATTAGGTGCAAACAATTACTTATACGTTCTGCCCGTCCCATACCCCTCTCCGTCCCATACCAGCCAAGCACATGAAAAATCACAATACTGATATCACAGATCACTATCTTGTTTTTGTTATAATATAGTTCATCTATACTCATTCTTTAACTCGTGTCATTGATACCCATAATCCTCCACGTGGGATTAGGTTTGAATATCGGGTTGACCTTTGACTTGCTGTGCACTATTGATATATGACGGGTAGGTTTCACGATGACAAGCAGTGACAGCTGAGAACGCCAGACGATTTCTCGCCGACTGCGTGATGTGTATGGCATTCCTCATAAGCTCTTTAAACTCCCCGTGTATATTTAGACACTAGATCATACAGGATACTAAGTATGCTGTAATATGTATGACTGAATCACGGAGTCTCAGTTTACGCTGTTTAGTTTACATACCAGCTGGTATCGTGTCAATAAATTGGACATTCCTGGATTCTGTGACAGTATTACTCGAATCAATGTAACATTTCCAACCAAAAACATAATGTGTTTCGTCCTTGCACTGTGTTGTTGGCACACCGTTAAGTACGAACACATGTGGTCTTAAAAACAATTAAAGATATCGGATTTGTAACTGGTCTGATTTACAGGAAAATATAACTACACCATTCCATGTCGTCATTTCGTTATTTAATCATTTATATGTGAACGAGACAAGTGTAATAACAACTGACATTGTAACCGGATTTGAAATCTCACTAGGATAACAACGCCCACGAATTTGTTTACAAACTCCTCTTAGTTGTATGCCGAACAATAACAAATTAGTCTCGAATTTGAATGCCTGCAACCAATTTCATTCTAATTCAACCAATTTACAGGAAAACTGGTTGTACCAACTGTTTATGCTGGAGGTCATTCGGCTGGTTTATGTTCTGAAAGATTAACTTTTTTTATATATGAATGTTTCATTTTACATACATGTATGAGTGTGAGGCACGAGTAATTTTCTCTTGTATTTACGTGTTTTATTTTATTTTCCCTGTGAAGCGCTGTTTCAGATTCCAGCCCATCCCCACCCACAGTTATTTCACGTGTTCAATTCACAGTATATTAATTTGAATCACGTGACATATGTTCCTGCTACCACGTTTTTACGAAGAGGATCACACGATGTGTCAGCGTGTTGGAATCCCGCCATGTCGGATCGTATTGCCAATTCTAGACTGTCCACCATTTCAAATCAACTGGCATTCCGATATATTGGGTTTCTACGACTAGAGCTTCGTCGGGATTGTTATGGTAGGGACACCACAGTTGATATCGCCTCTCCCCACACATATAGTTAGCCAGATACCGTGGCAGACTTACACGCACTTTTACAGGTTGTTGAACTTGGAGTCCTCGAACCATTCTTCAGAGGGAAGCGATGTCAATATTGCTATGCCATCCCCTTTCTCTGTGAAAGTAATACTAGTACCCAATTCAAGCTAACAACACCATTTCCGGTTGGAATGTTCACGTCACCACGTTACCATCATAGTGATTAAGTTTGATGGGACAGGTTGATTTGTACGCGCTCATAGATACGTGATAAGAGAACAATTCATTCTACAGAAGTCTGTTTCTAGGTTACTAAATAAATGAATGAATGAATGAATGAATATTCCCTTTAAATTTCGTATCCCTATTTTACGATTAATAGGTAGTATATCTACTTGCTCCCGTCTGTGGAACTTAAAGCAGAGTGTACGTGATGAAGGAGGACATATCAACCCATTTTGTCATTTCGTATTCCTGCATCTGTTACTGACATTAGATGGTACCATCTCAACTCAGACTGGATGTTTTAGCGATGACTTACTTTTGTTCACATATTTTTTTATCAAAATTCTGTGCTAGCATAATATGAGATCATCGAGCATCGCGTATTTGTTTTTCCTGGATTTCAAAGTAGGACATTCTGTTTAAGATAAACACTTGTTTCAAGTTTGTAAACGAGCGAGACAAATTATTAGCTCCGATGTAGAGAACAGAGCTATTCATATTACTTATTTTACGAAGTCAACTTTACAATTTCGATTTTTTCTTTAAAACGGGCGTACACCTCAAAGAATGCGCCCAACGGCTTCCCCGTCACGGTGTAAGCAATTTTCCACGGACATGGACCACGGATCACGCCTATGAATGGATAGCTAGCTTTAGTGTTGATTACTTCAAGATCCTAATTTTAGTGAATATTTTTCTTATCTTGGAAATGCTATACTAATTGACTTGATATTCCTTTCTCTTTATACATATCAAACAAAATTAAACTGAATTAAATAATTGGGTGAAATTTGAAATTGGCTGGAACAAAAATATTGTGGTTAATATCACATTCGATTTATATGCAAATTAGTATATCCTAATATGCAAATACAAGCAGAAAATTGAATATGGTTTCAATTAACGTACAAGTAATATATTGTATATGTATTATTCATTTTCATTTTCAAACCAATGCCAATATGAGTGATCATTACGATTAATACCCGCAAATGAGGCGTCCGCGATCACCTGCGACCGTGTCAGATATTTATGACCATCCCACCACTCATGCATCACGTATCAGCAAAGGACAGAATCACATTATGGACAGAATGGTAAATTTAGCTATAGAATTAATTTCTTAACCCGTCGATATCAAGCAGTATATTTCATTTTACGAAGGATAATTTTGCTGACATTCGACACATACACTGTGCAGGCGGAATGACTCATGCTATCAAAGTACCGAGGACATTGTATTATCCCCTCAATCATGTTGCCTTCACGCTACACGGCAAAACGGAATTCAAGTGCCAAGTGCCCGGATGTAGCAGAATTAATTGAACAATTCAATTGGATCGCAACAACATTTCTCTTTAAAATGTCAACCGTCTGACCGATTCATCACCGAGCAATCAGCACTCGCTCTGGGTTTATAAACTAGATTGCATTTTCCGTCCGTATCGGGAATGATGTTCATTTACCCCGTTTATTAAATTAATATTTCTCTCTAGAACAAGCCTGATGTATTGAAATGTACATTACTCACAGTTTAATTAATTATTTTTAGATCATAAATAACTAAATGTTCAGCTGAGTCACGTTACGTCTGAATGTTAGCTCAACCTTTGGCGGGAAAACTCAATAATAGCCTAACCTAATCAGAATACTGGCTTCAGTTTTAACTCGGTATGTAATAGTTCAATGACGATACACGTTAAGGCACAATCGAACAGAGTGTGTATTGTACAATGTAACCAATATGTTATAAGTGTACTTAAGGCTCGAATCTAGAATTTTAGAACATTTTGATATTCCGTGCTGTCAACTTGGTTAATATTCTACATGGTTAACCACGTTGTTGGATAAGTGATATCATATTCATTTAAGAAATAGGCAGACAGCACATGAATGAATAATTGACTCATGGCATAGAAAAGTCGTTTGTAGTATATTGATTGAGTTTCGAACTAGTTGCTAGTTATAGTATCAAGTGTATTGATTTAAACACACAATTTGCATCGAATAGATGTGTCCTGGTTATTTAATTATTAAGACAATCCTCGGAAAACAAGTAAATGAATATGTATTAACTTGAATACTTCCTGGTGTAATTGAACGGTGGCTTCACAAGGTTACACGAGTTCCATAGTTACCTGCACGTGACAACAGCTCGTTGACTTCAGATGGCATAGTAGTGAGCAAAAAACAGGGGAGGAAAATAATATTTAATTGCTTAAGTCAATGTTCACATTTGCGCAATTCAAACTTGTGAGCATACTAAAAAATGTCAAGGTAGCTAGCTTTGATAATAATACACTTGGCCATAATGTTATTGAAAATGTGTAGCAGAACGTTGTTGTTGTTGGCAGTATATTTACTCTGACGATTAATGGCAC